CCCCCACACCCTTTTTAAATTAAATAATACTCTAGATAAGAAACTAAAACTGCCAGTAGGTGGCGGTAACTGTCTTTATGAGTCTTTAACTTGATTCATTCAAACGACTGATTCATTCAGGAATTCAGTAAATGGCTCACTTTATGAATTGGCCTTTGAATCAATGATTTGAATCAATGGTTCACATGATTCATTCAAAACGCAGATTCATTCAGAAACTAAACATGTGTTGTTCGGAGACGCACAACAATTCTGCTATGGCTTTAAATGTAATATGTTCCCTCAAAATTGAGCAAAAACACATAATATTGTATTTAAAATATAACACAATATCAACTTATTTACTGAACTGTTGTATAAATTCACATTTGCACTCGTTATATTTGGGACAAAAACAGCACTCGTGTGACACAGCTCTCCCTACTCCTGTGTTATCATATTATGCAAATATGAGACAAAAACTCATACAGGAGCATTTTTGCCCCAATATCTTGAATTTTAGGACATAACTGCGTTTAAGGAGTTGTTGCCCTGCATCATATTTGTCAACAGTTAAACTGACATCCCTAATTACAAGTAATGCGAGTTACATAATGAGATTACTTTTTTCAAGTAACTAGTAAAGTAATGCATTAGTTTTAAATCTACATGAAATATCTGTGTTACTTTGTTTTCCCATTTATTCAGTGAAAGCTCTCCTGTCCCGATGTTAAAAGAAATTGGGAGTGAGGTGCATAGGCAGAGGCACTTCTTTCAGACTGAGGCTTATTCATTTAATTTTTGGTGTGAAAATACCCTTACAGTTGCCAAAAATATAACTTTTGGGTTTTTCGTTATTAAAAAACAAATAAGCAAGCCCAGCCCAGATGACAAAAAGTAACACAAAAGTAAAATAATGCATTACTTTCCATTAAAAGTAACTATGTAATGCAATTAGTTGCTTTTTCATGTAGTAAGTAACGCAATATTGCAATGCATTACGTTATTTTTCATGCATTATGTTATTTTCCATATGAACATTGTAATGTACTGTACATGGTATGTGACCTGTTCAATAGTATGTTACGATGTTAAGAAACTTAGTTTTGTCTGATTGTTGTTCTTGACAGATTCTCCATGGAAGGTCTACATGGATGATGTTAGTCCAGCACTAACTAATTTGCTAGTAATTGGTCTAACGCCAGCAAGAACGTACCAGTTCAGAGTGTGTGCTGTCAATCAGGTGGGACGTGGACAGTACAGCACTGAGACCAACAGGTAAACAGTCACAGGCATCATAGCCTACTAGCTTAGCATATTGGAAAATGTTTAAGAAAAGCTTTATTGATAAGCTAGAACAAGATATCATGATAAATAATTTTGATCAGGCATTGAGGAAGGGAAACAGATCTTGTTTGACAATGTCATGGAACTGCAGATGTTACAGTAACTTGGCCATGCTAACAAGCTAAACTTTGTTTCCAACAAACTCAAAGTCCTTTGAATTTTGACTGTAGTAAGTTACATGGCCAGTCAAACAGATTGGAACTGGTAATTTTCACCAACTCTTGCCATTTTTGTGTGTTCAACACATACACACACAACCTCAGTCAGTTAGAGAGAATGTTATTATATGTGAGGACAAGATTTAAACCCTATCAAAAGAAAGGCTGATTGTAATTGAGTTACATGAGAGCTTTCATCACTGGCTCTGATTGTGAGCCATTATGACACATGGGCAGAAAAAAAACTCATATTCAGGAACACTATGAAGGTGTGAGAAATAGCATTTCTCAAAGCCAATTCCACACGGTGAAAGAATGTCAAATAGAAACTTGGCTGGAGGGAAGGACACTTTAGCACATGCAGAGGCTACTGCATTTTGTGCTCTCTATTTTGTTTTGTGAATTTTTATTCGCTCATAAATTGGCACACATCACAATGACTGCATTCAAATCGAATGCAGTCGAAATCGAAACTGCGAATCAAATCGCTTAAAGAACTTAAAAAAAGTTCAAATGGCTATTTTTCAAGCCACATGCATAAAGCTAATGCGCATGCCAAGCACTCTTTGCTAAACGGCAGGAAGAAGGGCCTGCTCAATCATCAAGGACATGTTAAAAAAGCTTGTCATGCTGTTTCCTAGTTCTCAGCTTAGCCATTATTTGAAGCAAGTCTCTATTAAACCAACATTGCCAGTTTATGTTCAATAGTACCAGTTGAGTCAGAGACTCCCTTTTCTCTTATAATGACTTTGTGAAATGCTCAGCTGCTCAGGTTTAATTGGTGCTGAATTGGAACCATATATATATTATATATATATATAATTTCTGAAGGATCATGTGACACTGCAGACTGGAGAGTCTCTATATATGATTATGTGATAAGTGTGATTTGATTATTTAGTCAGCATTTTATGTAATCAGTCAGTTTATCAAATTGTATTAATTGTCAACCCTAATTACAGTACTTTAGGCTCAACTTTGACGTTTTATCAGTTGTCACGCAGTGAGAGCTGTTGACTGTATTCGTTCTTGTTCATTCTTGTTCACACACTTTATTTTGCTCTTTTGGATGGATGCAATGTGCACTGATTTATCTGTAACTGTACTATTGACATCAGCGTAATATGCAATATCTCAGCAAGTAAGTAAACCATGTCTGGGCTTGTTAACAACATTTTAAACAGATTCGCAACATGCAGAATCCATTAAGCAAAATTACTGGTGCAATTATAGAAACTCTGTCAAAGAAGACAATAACTAATGTGAACTTGCTAACAGCTTAACTGACCTCATGAAAAAACAGGTATTGTACAATGTAATTAGTCCTGCTTTATATTAGGTGGCCTAACTACTGTACTTACATTTAAATTAATAATTTTATACAATGCACTTATTGTGTACATACATTTTTTTTACATTGTGCTTATAATTTTAAAAATACATGCATGAAATTATATCTGTAATTCATTTCTGTAATTACATTTATAATTACACTGTTGACCCATCCCTTACACCTTAACCCACACTTAAACCTACCCATACCACCAAACCTGTCCCTAACCTTATACCCATATCCCACCTCAATAGCAGCAAAAGTGTTTTACAATACAATATGAACACATTTATTTTGTGATGTAAGTATAGTAGTTACATCCACCTGATATAAAGTGTGACCATTAATTTTCTCAACGTATTTACTCTTAGTCCTGATGTGTAAAACAGAATTTGGACCCATGTCTGGTATAAAAACAACCAATTTCATTGTTATTTTACTTTTAACTTAGCAGACAAAACTCAGTTTTAATATACAAAAACAAAATGTCCTGTATGTGTTTTACATATTTTAGCTGATTCAAAAGTAGTGTTTAAATGCAATTAAAATCACCAGCTTTATGTGTATAACCACGTATCTTTCAAACTGAATGTTTAATTTAAAGCACTCAGTTAAAACAAGAGGAAAAGACTGTGGCAAATGAGACAGAGATGAAGAAGACGAACAGAAACACAAAAAATCAAATATTGATGGAGAGGGCACTTATTAAAATTTGAGCACCTATCTGCTTTGGCCTCGTTTCCAATTAATGTCAGGATCATCATCAGTTATATGAAAAATTTAAATCTCTATTTCTTTTATTCTTCTTATTCATTTTTTTTGCAAAGTACCATCAAAGGAAGAGTATAATTACGCACAGAATATGTGCTCCAATCAGGACTGTTTCATGTCTAGAAGTATGTCCATAATTGGCACACCGCAAACAATGTCAATGTCAAACTTTACTTTTTTACTGATTTATGTTGAATTTAACAAAAGCATCACTCAGCACTTAGCATTTTTATTTGCATTTAATTCATAAACAACAATTAATGCCATGCACAGTAATGACAAAAACAATACAATAGAAATCCCCTCAATACCCAATCCAACCCCAACCCACCCCAAAAGAAACAAAGAGATAGACTAAAATAACTGCTTCTAAGCCTTTTAAATTGGTTTAGGATGATTATTGTTTATTTGACAAAACATCAATCAGACTTAGCAACTTTCCTACAAGATTGCTTGCTTGAGGCACTTTAGGCCTTGCTCACTTAATCAAGCTAATAACCTTTAAACTGCAGATTAGAGCGAAGGATTGTTTATCGCCTGCTCTAGGGATCTACAGTCTCCAGAATCCTGCAGACAGACTTAGAGAGCTAAAGCCTATGGTATTGATCTAACTGAGAAATTAAAGAGTTCACTGATTTACACTAATGGGGTCAAACTAACAGATTTAGCATCGAATTGCTGATGTATCATTTTTGATATTGTTTGCATATGGTATGTGCTGAAATACTGAAATGCTCACTTGTTTACATTTTAATGCTTTATTTGTTCCCGTTTGGTTTTGTAAAAAAATTATATACATCACAGGAAACAAGAGGAGTTGTCAGCAATTAAGGGTTTGTCAGCACTAGCCATGGTTTCACTATGTTCATTGTTGGCTGTCAACTAAAAATGCCTCAAGGGTTCACATTTTTTACCAGATTTGGGAACCAAACAATAACCTTTCCAGGCTTTATTAAGTACATTTCTGTGACCGGATGCAGAATGTGCATTTTTCAAGGCAGTAATTTTGATTAAACAGCAAACATGCACTACTATTCTAAGGTTTGGAGTCAGTAACATTGTTTAATGTTTTTGAAAGAAGTCTCTTATGCTCACCATGGCTGCAGTTATTTGATAAAAAAAAAATATATTTATTATTATTATTATTATTTTTATTAAAATGTAATTTATTCCTGAGATGGCAAAACCAAATTTTCAGCAGCCATTACTCCAGTCTTCAGTGTCGCATGATCCTTCAGAAATCATTTTAATATGCTGATTTGCATGCTCAAGAAACAGAACTTTTAATGAAAAGAAAGTTTAAAAGAACATCATTTATTTGAAATCGATTTATTTTGTACAATTAACATTACTATCACTTTTGATCTATTTAATGCATCCTTGTTGAATAAAAGTATTCATTTATTTCAAAGATGATACAACTTTTGAAAAGCAGTTTATTAAACAGGCTGAAGGTGAAAATGTACTTGGGGATGACTCCTCAGTTTGGTCAGTAAGTTGTTTTTCCAGTGTTGTTTTGGACTTTTAAAGAGCCGAGTCAAGTTCAGGTTATTCCAGTGAACCCTGTTTACCCCAGCAGGGTCAGTTCTCAGTTACTCCTGCACTATAAAAGACCTTTCGCACAAACCTGAAAGATCCATTTCAATCTCTCCAGGACTACTGGATAAGCTCCCAAGGAAACTTTTAGTAACTATCGATGTCTCTGGGAGAAACTCCAAGATAAGACTCCAGGGTCTAAATATTTCTCTTTTATGATGGGATTCTCATGATGTTATCTCTCAGGCTAATGCTGCGTGAGGAACCACCCAGCGCGCCTCCAAAAAACATTGTGGCTAGTGGCCGTACCAACCAGAGCATCATGGTCCAATGGCAGCCGCCCCCTGAACCACAGCTCAATGGAGTCCTGAGGGGCTATGTGCTCAGGTATGCTTTCATGTATGGCTTCAGAAATTTAGAATTTGTATAAAATAGATCTCTATACACACTCTTTTGTACACAATATTGAATTTTAATGCAATAAAAAGGTCTTTATAATTTTGGTATAGTGGTAACGCAACAGCACAGCTTAAAGGCATGGTCACATTTACCGCATTTACAGTACATTTACAGTAGGAACCCTGCAAATGTTTTCCCCATGAAGATTACACATCAGCTGGCCATTTAAATTCGCCACGTTGACCAACAGAAAACTGATTGGTTTGAAAGTGACTTTTGTTTGAGTTGTGCTTCATACAAAGTTACATTATTGGCAATAGACAATGGATTTTTTTGTTTTATGAAATATACAAAAATGGCTTCACTTTTTATGCTCAATAATATTACCACCCAACCAGTGTTTATTAAATCTAGCTTCTGGTTTTACATAGTGTCTAGCTTGTCATCCAAGCTGTTCTGAATACTTGATCAGATAGACTACCAGCTGCTGGAGCTAAGGTTTACCTTTTAGCTGGTTAGAGCTCTTAGAGATTTGCAAAAAACCTTAACTCCCATGAAGTCGGCATGAAATGGACATTCAGAAAAATTCATCTATTTTCTAAATGCATGCTATTGATCTTACTCTGAATGATTCATCCATGCGTACTGTTAACAACTAATGAATTGAACCAAGATTGACCAATTGATCCATTACTCTCATATGTACATCACAGTTTGGAAGAAAAGATATTGCTACATCCATTACATTACGACTTTAAAGGGAAAGTCCACACAAAATGAAATTTCTGTCATCGTTTTCTCACCATTCCAAACGTGTACAACTTACTTTCTTCTGTGGAACACAAAAAGCTATTTTGAAGAATGCTGGTAACCAAACATTTTCAGTTCCCATTGATGTCCATTGTATGGACAAAAAATACAATATATGTCATTGAAAACTGAAACAAGAAACAGATTTCTGGGAGTCGAAAATCTTCTTTTGTGTTCCGCAGAAGAAAGAAATGCATACAGGTTTGGATCAATACGACGGAGTCATTTTGTGTGGACTATCCCTTTAAGATGGAATGACCTGCTTTTTCCACCAGGTTTTCAAATTACATGTATTCAGTAGTAGATGATATGAGTTGTAGGCAAGCGTCACTACTACTTTTGTTCAGAGCTGGGGAGATTACTTACAAATTGTAGTCTATTACTGATTCCAAATTACATAATAAAAATTGTAGTTAGTAACATAATCCATTACATTTTGACTACTTTTTGATTTCTTTTAGATTACTTTTGACCCTACTCATTTATCACATTTATTTAAATAGGATAATCTTGTACCATACTGATATAAAAGTACAAAGAATCGGAAAATATATTCCATTCACTGTAATTAACAACATGAAGTGCATTAAACATTTCGTTACGGTTTGCCAAACTGTGAAATGCCATGTAGCCACCTTCAAAACCGAAGACTTTCTGAATGTATATAAGCAGTAGGCTATTTAAGAAAGGAACATTAAAAAGATGAAAAAAAGGAATAATTATAAATAATTTATTGCTGCTGTGTGAATAATATGTAATCATGTAATCAATAAAAAAGTAACTAGTCTAATCACGAGCAGAGATGGACAGTAGTGACGTATTTTTACTTTACTCAAGTAAATGAAAAAAGTGTCTGTACTTTATCAGAGTATCTTTGGAAAACTTTTACTTCACTACATTCTAAAATATAATGTCATACTTTTTACTGCACTATATTTCATAAATAAAAGTTGTTGTTTTTTTACCTTTAATACTTAAGAACATTAAAAATGTAGTATTTTTTTGTACTCAAGTAAAACTTTGAATTACTTTTACTTGAGTAAAAGTAAGAAAGTACTAGATTTCTAATGTAATTAAGTATTAAATTATATTTATTATGAAACGTAGTGCAGTAAAAAGTACAATATTATGCTTTGGAATGTTTTGAAGTAAACGTTTTCTAAAGAAAAACATTGATAAAGTACAGACACTTGAAAAGTTATTTTACAGCAGAGTAAAAATACTTCACTACGGTCCGCCTCTGATCATGAGTATTTTAAAATGTAATTGAATTACAAGTACCTAATTTTTGGAATCTGATTACGTAATCCAGATTACATGTAGTCAGTTATTATCCAGCTCTGTTAGCAACCATATAGCAATGTGCTGAAACTGCCCACAATATTCTAGCATCGTAACTGCGAGTTGTGCATGGCTAAGCGCCACTTTCATTTCCTACAAAAGATGCATCTAGTTGAAATTACGAGTGAGTGTGTTTGTGTTAAAGGTTCACAATCAACTTCCCAAAAAAAACACATGATTCTCTTTCTCTCCCTCTCCCACTCAGGTACAGATTGGCAGGTCTGCCTGGTGAGTTTCAGCTGAAGAACATCACCAGTGCAGAGATTAATTACTGTCTGATTGGAGAGCTCATCATCTGGACGCAGTATGAGATCCAAGTGGCTGCCTACACTGGAGCGGGCCTGGGGGTGTACAGCCAGTCTGTCACTGAGTACACGCTGCAAGGAGGTTAGACAATCCTCACACACACACAGAAATAAACACAAACACAATGCCTCATCAGTCGGAGCAAACCCTTGATGTTTCAAATCTTTGAGGTTTGGGTCCAAAACACCGTCTTTCTCATTAAGCCACCGATATCATAAAAGATCTAGAGTAACCATGGGAACCGTAAAATCCATTAGCCGGCTTTACTGCACAGATCGGCCATCTGAAAGATTATTTCTACGAAGAGTACATTTATGGACTCTGGGCAAACACTGACCGTAGCCCATTAATTAATCTAATTTGCTTTATGTGCGTGAATTTGTGTGCGCACGCAAGGAAGTGTGGGGGTGTTCTGAGATCCTTCTGCTGTGATTATTCATAGTATTTAACGTCAGTGTAATGATACTCCTGCAGAGATTAATAGAGACCCAGTGTCCGCAGAGACTTCTTCTCGTAGAGACTGGAACAAATGCTTTTGTACACGTGGTTAGAGGCGGTTTTTATGTCCCAGTTCAGATTTCCGGACACACTAATGTAACCTTGTGCCGTTGTGTGATTGTGTTTGAAATGAAAAGGGCAGCAGGACGAATCGGAGTGCCCAATCCAATTGAGCGATAGCTAATCTGTACTCAACTCGCCAGGCCTGACCTTAAAGGGGCCATCTTAAGCACATTAAGTGTAAGCGGCATTGAGTCTTTATGGAAATATGATCTCGTTCTTCCCACTTCACGCTCAGGCCTGCTGCATAGCACCGATAGGCTACAAGAAAGGCTTTGAATACAAACTGTAGTTCATGTGTATTTGTATGTGATTATTGGTGCCACTGCGAACGATCATTTGAAAATAGAGTACGTATGTGCGGAAACGGGGGTTTGGGTAAGACGTTTAATTCCAAAATCCAGGTAGTCACAACTGATATAGTCTCGCTGAGCCAGACTTTTGACTGTTGTCTTATTTTTTGTCAGGTCCAAAAGCAGATTAGTATAAAGAAACAATGCCCAAATATTCAGTTCTAGTCATTAGTATTTAGTCTGCTTCCTACTAAGTGCCTTATAGAGTATTTAAGCACTGTAAACTTTGGCTAATCTTCAGCAGTGTTATTTTAGTATTATTTTTATGCTATTACAGTATTTCTTAATATTTTGAATAAGATTTATTTGTATATTTTCAGTCTTCATTTTAAATTTGGTTTAAGTTTTGTCTTTTTTTCTCTTTAGACTTAATTTATTTTGGTCATACTTTATTTTAAGTATTCTCGCTATTAACAAACCATTAACTACGACTTTTGCCTCAAACTCCATATTAATGTATATTATTATTAATGTAATTAATGTATAAGCAATTTTAGTACTTCAGGTTATTTTATTTCAATTTGTTGCTAAAGCAACACTTCAGATTTTTGCTGAAGGTTTTTAAGTTTAAATTATTTTATTTCAGCTTTATTACTATTAACAAAAAGGATTTTCTAAAATGAAAACTAATACTTTTAGTTTTACATTTTATAGCAGTATTATTATTGCAATATTTTATAGTATTATTTTAGTATTATTAACAATTTTATAATACAATTGTTCACACACACTCACTTGCTTATTAAAATAAATTTAATAAATTCAATTTAAGATAAAGTATTTTGTGGATAAACTTCTACAAACAATCAGACGAATGAATTAATGAATGAATGAATGAATGAATGATTGTGCCATTCTAAACCACATGGTATACACAATAAAAAATTTAATAATTTTGAACTTTTAAGTTCAATTTAACAGCACACTTTGCAAAAATATGTTTGAACATTACCAAAATATTTCAGTGCTAAATTGTCTTCCACCCTGCAGTCCCTACAGCGCCCCCACAAGACGTGGATGCTGTTGCTCTCAACTCCACCACCATCAAATTCACCTGGACACCACCCCCCCAACAGTTCATCAACGGCATCAACCAGGGATACAAGGTAGAGAGAGACAGATGTGAGAATGTGTGTTTGATTGTGTGTATGAGAGAAAGAGAGACACATGTTCTGTTGGAGGTAAAAAAAATCAATTAAATTTGCCTGGCAGGTTTATTGTCTTCTGGGGTGTGTATGCATGATTGATTGGCTAAATGCCTGACAAAAACAGCAACTATAAATTTGAATTTGCATAATTAAATCCTAGCAGTGTATTTTAATCACGTTTTGTGTATGTCTTATTGTTATTCCGTATCTCTCTCACAGCTGCTGGTGTGGCCCGAACACTGTCCGGAATGCATTACCATGGTGACCATTGCCCCTGAGTTCCACGGGTCACGTCACTATGGTTACGTTAGCAATTTAAGAAAGTTCACGTGGTATGAGACGGCAGTGCTGTGCTTTACCACACCTGGCGATGGACCAGCTAGCACACCACAGCTCATCCAGACGCATACTTACAGTGAGTACTCATACAAACACATGGACACGTTACAGGAATCACATCCACATTCAAGGAAAATTTGCTCACCCTCAGGCCAACCGCGATGTAGATGAGTTTGTTTCTTCATCGAAACAGATTTGGAGAAATTTAGCATTACATCACCAATGGATCCTCTGCAGCGAATGGGTGCCGTCAGAATGAGCGTCCAAACAGCTGATAAAAACACCACAATAATCCACAAGTAATCCACACCACTCCAGTCCATCAGCTAATTGTTTGTAATAAGTAAAAATCCATTATTAAGACATTTTTAACTATTTCTTCCAGATAAAATATGAGTCCTCTAATAATCTAATATTGTTGTCTCTAGACGAAAAGTGGTCTCATCTGAACCAAGAGAGAAATATGCACAGATCAATCACCGTTTATAAGAGAAAACAGTCCAAAACAAGTTCTAAACAAATATGACGGTGGATTTTGATGTGAGAGGACAACAGAAGATCAACTTTTTTCACTGGAGGAAGCATTATTATGATTATTTTGGCCAGAAGCGACGGTTTAAATTGAAAACTTCTTAACGATTGATTTGTTTCTTACAAACACGCAGCTTTTCGCTTCACAAGATGTAACCTGATGGACTGAAGTTGTGTGGATTACTTGTGGATTATTGTGATGTTTTTATCAGATGTTAGGACTCTCATTCTGACGGCACCCATTGACTGCAGAGGATCCATTGGTAAACAAGTGATGTAATGATACATTTCTCCAAATCTTTTCAGATGAAGAAACAATCTCATCTACATCTTGGGTGGCCGGAGTGTGAGTAAATTGTCAACAAATTTTCATTTTTGGGTGAACTATTCCTTTAAAGTTATAGCTCTCTCACTGTTTGTCAGAAATAGTATCATTTGACAATCATCTATTTTAGGAGAGAAAACAGTTGATACTTCAATAAAAAGCAATTGGGAGATCCATTAAGTCTCCTGAGCAATGAAAGAGCAACCTCTAAGCAATAAATGCGTCCTCTGGGATATAATGTTTTGCTTGCACTACTGACATGTAAAATCATATTTCACACTCTTGCAGATACCCACACACTCTTACAGACAGTCTGTCTGTATTTAATTGGAGACAATCGACTAACAGTATGCTCTTTACTTGAAAACTGTCCAGCAGGCTTTGAGAAAGAGATCTCTCGGCAAAAACAAGCCTGTTTGTTTGACATTCTAGCCACCAGAATCGATACGGAGCAGAAATTTGGCCCTTTCGCTATGCATGCCGCAATTTGCCACGTAATTGTGCTTTTTACATCGCCATTGATTAGTCTTTTCGCCGACTATATATTGGCCACCCAAGTGCTGTTTTCACGTCACGCCACAGGCATGGAGAATCAGCCTTGACTAACCTGCAATTATTGAAGCAGGATCACTCCTGTTAGTCAATGCACATGTGCTCGCTATTGATTGTCCCACCATGTGTGCGTGCGCTTTGATATGTGTGCGAATGCGCGTGCAGCTGTTAACAGACAATGTAATTTTCATCAGATGATAACAGCATGTGGTCTTCTCTGCAATGTTGAGCCACAGGAGCTTGTTTCCCATGAATAGCTCAATCCCACAAACAGGTTAGACACGAAAAACCCTTGAAACAAAGTGAATAAACATAGTTAATCTCTGAAAAACCTGCCAAAAACTATCCGTTAGCATTAGTGCACAGCAAATAAACATCAAATGTACCATTTTTGATAGATCCTGTAAGTCTATTTCACACCTCCAAAAGTAATAGGTCACTGGTAAGACATCTGCTACAATATAATGAAATTATTATGAGTAATATTATTATGAATTACCTAATTAATGCAAGGATTGGTAATGTTATAGGTACTTGTGTTTTGTAGGGAATATTATGTACTTTTGTATGTATTGTTTATGAATCCAACATATTGTAAACCCACCTTGAGCCCGAAAAAATTTCCTCTTGGGGATAATAAAGTGTATTCCATTTCATTTTAAATGCTGGAATAATTTTGCTGACCAAGGTTGCATTTATTTGATCCAAAATGAAAAAAAAAAATAATAATAATGATAATGTTGTGACATATATATATATATATATATATATATATATATATATATTTTTTTTTTTTTTTTTTACAGTTGAACAGTTTCTGTTTGAATATATTTTAAAATGCAATTATTATGCAAATATTCCAGATTTTTTTTAAATGTTTGAATGGTAGTGTATGTTGCTTGCAAAAATCTTTTTGCTATTTTCTTTATTATGTAATACACACACACACACACACACACACACACGTGCATACACATACACTCTCTCTCTCCCTCTTATGGTATTCATTAATTGATTAATATTGATATTAGCTTTATTATATTTTCAGTTTTCATTTGAATTTGAGTATTAGTTATTTTGTTAGTAATAAGCTTTTGTCACTTTTATTGCATTATATATATTTCTATTTCTAGCATAATTTATTTCGTTTTTACATAAAACGTTTCGTTTACATAACAAAGTTATTTTTATTCATTTTTATTTTTAAGTTTTATTCTAAATTGTATATTTTATTTTAACTTTATTTAAAATGACATTGTGTTTGTAATAGGTTTAGTTTAAGTTAGCAATAACAAAATAAAAGGCTATTTTTTAAATATATTTATAGAGAAAAATGAATCCTTATGGTGTATTTACGGCATCTAGCAGCAGTGACCATGCTAACCAGCTAAACCTTGACCTCTTGTTCAGAACAAGCGAAAAAAATTTAATTGAAAATTAATTGAACTGCAGTGCAATGAGTTGCATGCAGTCATACGTTCTCATAAGCACGTGATTGATTAATCTGTCAGTCTAGCATGACGACTCGCACTGATAAGGTCTGCTTGACAGTCCGGGGCATGAGGGTTTGCCATGCGCGTGTTAGATCTAATGAGATTAAAGCTTTATTCGCACACATTAACCACTGTGCTTTTCAGGCAACTGTCATGTTCGCCTGTCAGATGTATTGACTTGTGGGGTGTGTATGGATGATTGATTAACTACTAAATGACTGCTAACTCGTGAGGGTAATTGCCAAGTAATGCCAACAAACACATAATTTGCTTTCGCCTATTTGCATTGCATTTGTGATACAACGGTTCCACGGCAACAAGCTCTTTGTTGGGAGCATTATGATCTTGCGGACTGAGGGTGCGAGGTAATCCTTTACCATGAGCGGGTTTGAAAGCTTCCATAAAGTGCTGCCTAGCTTTGTTCCACTCACGCATACACACACACATGCTTGTGCTAAGAGCATTGACAGACCTGCTGTGTATTCATGGGTTTATATCCCCTCAGATCATAAAATCATGAAGCTGTTGTTTAAAAAATACAGTCTCTGTATGTCTGTCTCTGTAGTTGACCTTCTACTTATAATAAAAATGCACGCTTTGTATTCTTAGGTACTCAGAAATGTACTAGCATCCATAAAACATATTTGAGATCTTAAGGGCCTAAAGCATAAAGACTTTACATCAAAGCATAGTTATATTATGTTATATTATATATTTATTTTTCCAGAGAAATCTGTAGTAACATTGCTGAGTGCAGTAAATTCATGTATATGTGTTGTAGAACCGGGCCCGGTGACTCAACTGAGCTTTACTGAGATCTTGGACACATCTCTGAGGATCAGCTGGCAGGAACCGGAAGACAAGAACGGCATTATCACAGGTGAACAGGCTCAAATATCCAATCACAGCTTCAGCTCAAACACTACAGGAATTCTCACTAATCTTTCCAGTGCTGCATGTGAAGGTGTCCCAGGGATTGACTTTTGTTAAAACTAGCAGATTTAGCTGTCATCTTTTTGTTTGATAAAGATCACATTAAAACTTGAGGAATGTTTAGCTTGTCTTAATTAATTTTAGTTTCTAGATGCCTTTAATGTAATGATTTAATTATTGTACCCTTGTCCTAGACCCAGATTTTCACTATTAAAATATGAAAAAATAAACATCATTTATAAAAAGTTGAAACCATTAAAAAAGTAAATGTAAAGTAAATTTAAACATTTGAAGCATATATTCTGTAAACATGGTTGAGATATGAAAAATCAAGGTAAATATCACTTGTGAATGTAATGTTTTTATTGTGTTATTTATTACAATCAAGCTGTTATTTTGTCAAATTAAGTGTGAAAATTGTTTAAAACATAAATTGTGTCAAATCTAATTTCCACGGAATGTTATTAAACACGGTATGACAAAAATGACAGAATTAATTTCTAAACACATTATTATTGCACAAATAAAAAAGCAAGAATGTAAAAGTTTTCTCCTGATTACATGATTATGAAAATAGCTGAATTGATGTCATGAGTCACACTTTATTTCTTTATTTTAAGGTCAAATTCTCGCTATTAACAAACCATTAACTACAACTTTTGCCTCAATAAACTCCTAATTTGCTGCTTATTAATAGTTAGTAAGGTGGTTGTTAAGTTTAGGAATTGGCTAGGATTCAGGATGTAGAATATGGTCATGCCGAATATGTGCTTTATAAGTACTAATAAACAGCCAATATGTTAATAATAGTCATGCTAATAAGCAACTAGTTAATAGTGGGAATTGGTCCCTATACTAAACTGTTACCCTGTCATGTTACTAGGAAGTGTAGTTAAGTTAGTAGCCTTACTGCTTTGAGTTGGTTGCTCCCTAACACCTCTCTGTAGTGATTAACTGTGAGTTACGGTAGTTGATTCTCTCTGCATCTTTTGCGTAATTTCATTCTTCGAATGCATGTGAGGAACCATAAAGAGAGTTTCAATTTAGCCACTTATAAAGGACCAACTTTTGCCTCAATAAACTCCTAATTTGCTGCTTATTAATAGTTAGTAAGGTGGTTGTTAAGTTTAGGAATTGGCTAGGATTCAGGATGTAGAATATGGTCATGCCGAATATGTGCTTTATAAGTACTAATAAACAGCCAATATGTTAATAATAGTCATGCTAATAAGCAACTAGTTAATAGTGGGAATTGGTCCCTATACTAAACTGTTACCCTGTCATGTTACTAGGAAGTGTAGTTAAGTTAGTAGCCTTACTGCTTTGAGTTGGTTGCTCCCTAACACCTCTCTGTAGTGATTAACTGTGAGTTACGGTAGTTGATTCTCTCTGCATCTTTTGCGTAATTTCATTCTTCGAATGCATGTGAGGAACCATAAAGAGAGTTTCAATTTAGCCACTTATAAAGGACGGTTACTGCCTATGTAGACAAAAAGCAGCGAGGCGGTTCAACTTGTGGAACAAAGCTTAATTTTCTCTTTCTTCTCATCTCATTTCCGCCTCTCCATAGGTTACGTCTTGTGTTGGGAGGAGGCCGGTCAGAACGAAACCCGTGTATCTCAGACTCTGTCCAATTCTACGCTGACATACAAAGTGACCGGGCTCACTTCGCTCACCACATACACTCTGCAGGTGGCTGCGGGGACACAGGCCGGCACCGGTGCTGCCACCTCGTCGACCATCTCGACAGGACTGCCGCCAGGTCTCCACACTCTCAAACAAATACACACTTCAATGCTAGCTCACACTCACTTTAATGCATCAAATTCTCCCTTGGGGATCGGTGATAGTCACCCTGTTCAAACTCAAAAGGAAATTCAACACATGAAACAGGATGCCGCAGTGGGGCGCATATTTCACATAGACCAGCAATCCGAGACACAGTCAGTAAGACTGTAATACATCACACAGAGTCAGTATGAAGCTCTTGGGGCCGCTGTGTGTGTGCGCGTGTGTTAGAGAGAACATGAAATAAATGATGATGACCAAAAGCCAAGCTACACTCATTATCTCCCACTGATATGCTGTGGAGTCAGGAGAGAACGAGCTTTTATCTACTGTTGAATGAGCCACCGTGAACCACCCAAATATCATTATCAATCCATTTAATTACCAATTAATCATATACCCAAACACAATGTGCACTGCTGTACACAAAACCTAATTGACTCAGAAGTGAGTTATGGGCCCATTTACAGGAGTTTTCTTTGAAGGATAATGAAGACACAGGATGGAGAAAACAGACAGAGAGCAGAACACAAAATGCAGAAAATGTTTCAATTAGATCAGCTTGTGAGTTACATAAATATGTTTTGTTGTGTTACTAAACAGAGCTTCCTGGTGCACCCTCCAATCTGGTCATCTCCAACATCAGTCCTCGCTCCGCCACCATAAAGTTCCACCCCGGCAGTTACGGCAAAACCACCATCTCCAAATGGATTGTAGAAGGACAGGTGTGTAGGCGTGTGTGTGAGTGTGTGTGTACAATTTAGTAAAGCTTGTATTGCCAAATCGCTTTTGGCAAGTGCCAAACTTTACCACAATGGCTAAAGGGTTAACAAAGTAGTAATTTTGCCATCAGTAGCAATTTGCTCTGGACAAAATGGTTAATTTTGCCACAGATATTAATATTCTGTCTGCCTAATGGTTAATTTGGTCTGAACAAAATGGTTAATTTTGCCACATATATTAATATTCTGTCTGGCTAATGGTTAGCTTGCTCTGGACAAAATGGTTAACTTTGCCACAGATATTAATATTCTGTCTGGCTAATGGTTAATTTGCTCTGGACAAAATGGTTAATTTTGCCACATATATTAATATTCTGTCTGCCTAATGGTTAGCTTGCTCTGGACAAAATGGTAAACTTTGCCACAGATATAAAGATTCTGTCTGCCTAATGGTTAATTTGCTCTGGACAAAGTGGTTAACTGCCGCAGGTATGAATATTATGTCTGCCTAATGGTTAACTTTGCCACAAATTGCACTTTTCTTTTACAAAAAAGGTTAATTTCATGAAATAGTTAACTTTGTCACTTGTAGCAATTTTCTCTCTCCAAAATGGTTAACTTGGCCACAAATGATACTTTTTTCTTTGCAAAATGGCTCTATGCAAAAAACTTTGCCATGAATGTTACTATTCTGGCTGCCAAATTGTTAGCTTTTCCACAAATTGTGCTTTTCTCTCAGAAACATGGTTACCTTTTTCACAAATGGTATAGTTTTTCCCTTTCCGAAATGGTTAACACGGTCACTTACATCTATTTTCTTTGTCCTGTTAACAGTTAACTTTGCCACAAATTATGCTATTTTTTCTCTCTGCCAAATGGTTAACTGCCACAAATGTCAATATTCTGTGTGCCCCTCTCAGAAAATAAAACTTTTTCATGAATGGTTGTTTACTCTTTGAACAATGCTTAACTTTGTCACTTACAGCATTTTTTCCCCAAATGGTTAGCTTTGACACGAATGACCCTTGTCTGTCAGGAAAATTGTTGTATTTTTTATGAATGTATGCCATGGTTAATGCCACATATAGCAGTTTTTCATTCAGCAAAAAAATGCTAACTTTAGCCTGATAGCACTGAAAGCAAACGTCCCAACCTCCCTGCAATCGCCGTCCAAAGCCACGCCCCCTGAACTCATATACGCTCACAGACCAGAAGGCTACATCAGCGGTTCCCAATTCCAGCCCATGTTCCGAAGTGAAGTAAACTTAAATGGATTTCCCCTGCTCAGTGCTCAGGGAGGAGGGAGCAATGAACACTGTGAAGGGATCATATTGATCGGAACACAGTTTATGCACGTAGCTCACTTCTAACGAGCTGGTTATCTGAATAGGGTGTGTTAACTAAGCGAGACATGCAAAATATGCAGAGAGCGGGGGCACGAGGACTGGAATTGGGAACCGCTGGTCTACATCATGCGTCATTCACCAGTGAGAAATCTTTAAAAGTACCACAATACCAGGAAGGAAGATCTGGTTGTTGATGTTTGTCTGCCATTTTCGCTGTCTGCACAGCGTGCGTGAACGCGCTGCTGATGACGTACCCTGTCTGCGCGAACAGGGTGCGCAGAGGTATGCTAATACATACTTTGACAGGCAGGTAGGAAAGCCAATTAAAACGCTCGGACCGAGCGTTTTAATTGGACCAACATTTCTTGGTCCTATGCCTTCCACAGAATATATAAATACAGATAAATACATTTAGACCACTTAACTTAATGATTGCTATCGGGATGTGAAGAGACTTTCAACCAGCATAACAAAAAATGTTTCTGAAGACAATCACCTGTTGCACCTTTAACTTTTCTGCAGATTACTTTTTTTCGCCTCAAAAGTGGTGAACTTTGCCACAAATTAGACTTTTCTCACTGTATTTTTTTTAATGAATGGTAGTTTTCGCTCTGCAAATATATATAAAATTAAATATATAGTTTCAATTTGCCACAAATGTCAATAATCTGCCAGTCGAATGGTTAAATTTGCCACAAATGGCAATTTTCTCTCTGCAAAATTATTAATATTGCCTTGAAGGGCACCTTTCTCTTTGAAAAAAATCTTACCTTTTCCACAAATTGCTGTTTTCTCTCTGCAAAATATGTAACTTTGTGACGAATGGCAAATTTTCCTTCTGCCGAATGGCTAACTTTTCCACAAACTGCAATTTTCTCTCTGCCAAGACTGCTCTATGGAATATGACTTTTCAGTGTATGTGCTCATAAGTATAAATGTGTGTGTGTGAGTGTTTGTGTATTTGTGGGTGTGTGTTATGCCCTTGTCTGGCAGGCTGTGCTCCAGTGAAGATGCTGTTGTCTGGCAGGTACTTCATCTCCAGGGAAAAACTGAAAAACAGGCTTGCACTTGCACTAAAACATCTTCCCCTGGAGAAAACACACACACACAAACACACATGCAAGCTCACACTCTGTATTTGACATAGTACGAGGAGGCTAAGGAGATGTCATGCACCGTGTCTCCCAGCCCTTTAGGTGTGGTGTGTGTTTGTGTGTGCGCGCATATGTGTTAAGCCCCTCTTGGATGGCATCCAGCGCTGTGCAGAGTGATGAGAAAAACTCCTCCTAATGAGATCCCTCTCTTTTCCCCTTGGTTTTCTTTGCTCCTGTCTTTAATACTGTTTAATCGAGGGAGAGCAGGAAGGAGGGAGTCAGAGGGAGGGATGAGAGAAGAAGATTAGAGGTACTGAGGTGGCACTAATGGGGTCTTAAGTCTATGGGTTAGAAATCAGCTTGTGTTGGGGTGTTTTTTACAGCCGACTTCTTCACAGCTATATCCTGAACCAGGTCGGTTGCCGATTCCGATTTCCTTTGTAATCTTTTCACCTTTCCTCTGCTCAAACAGTGCTGCACAAAACATGCTGTGTGGATGCAGTGTTTACATGGAAACCAAGTACTAGTTGTTTCAACATATGGCTTGTAATATTGAAAGGAACATATCATGGAAAACCGCATTTTTCTTCCTCTCTCCCCAGTCCAACCAGATTATTGATGGATATTAAGCTGCAAAAACAATGTCACCAACTGGATCTCAATAACATTTGACCTCCAACATTTTTATACAAACACCTGTTCAGTCTTAAAATGCTAATAAATAAAAATGGAATAATAATAAAAAATAAAATAAAAAAGATAATTTCAACTTTTTATCTTACTGTTTTTACTTTTTTTCAGAATTTATATCTTACAGTATGGACTTTGTTTCTTGAAATTCTGGGGGGAAATAAGAATTGTGAGATATAAACTCAAAATTCAGACTTTTCTCTGAATTATGACTTTACGTTTAGCAATTATTATTTTTTTCTGCTATGGATTAACATTTTTTTAAAAGGTAATTACTACATCTTATCTCACAATTTTTCCTCTTGCAAATGTGAATTTGTCATTTCTAGCTCATAATTGTGACTTTTTTTCTCAGAATTGTGAAAAAAGTCTAGATTGTGAGATATAAACTCAGAATTGCAAGAAATAAAGTAAAAAGGTGAGATAAGAAGTCACAGTTACCTATTTTATTTTTTATTTTATTATAGTGTGAGTGTTTAATTAACACATTATAGTGTTTAAATTCCCTAGCCCATTCTGATGAATGATAGTGTGAACCATGAGGTTAGCCAATCACACCAAAGGTCATTAACATATGGAAATTTGAAAAGTGCAGTAGCCAAAAACAGTCAGAGGGTCAGAGAGAGGCTGGAAAATGTAAAATGATGACTGTTTTCTGTGTAAGAAACCTTGACTAACATTATAAGTGAAATTCAGTGGGAAATTGCAATGCTTTAGAAGTGAAGAATATGGCCCCTTTTAAGTATTTTGACAGTTTATACATGGTAATGATAGGAAAGAGCTAACCGCATGAAATTAATCACAGGTTGCTCTATGAATAAATGGAAGCAGCTCTCAGTGAGGTCCTAGAGGAAACATGAGTCACTGGATTGTGACGTTTGAAATGATAAGCAGTTTTTGTTTGCAGATAACGACTGGCTGCATTACCCAGTGTCTCTTTGTAGATATTTTTTTCATGTTGTAGATCCACTTTTTTAATTAGATCATTACCTCATTATGGCCTTATTATGTAAAAAAAAAAAAAAAAGCGGGCCCTTTCCGGCTCTCACATGTCATTGTTGAGAATCAATAGCATCTTGCTTTTATTAGTGAAAAACAAAAATCACAAAGCAGAGAAAACAGTAGCAGCCCTGATATGGAGTGTGCACTGCGGGCAGCTTGCTTGGGTTTGCTGTTGCTTTTCACTGTCAGTCTGAAGCTTTTCTATCATCAGCTCTGACTGCTGAATCTGACTCTCTGTATATTTGGAATGACACTCTGCCATAATAGGAATGAGGGATGCAGGATGTGTACTATACACAGTGTGGGGGACCTATATTTGCCCATATGTGCAGTATACATCAAGTGAAATCTGATATTAACCGTAAGCTGTCTCAACTGTAATCTTAACATCTCATTCGTGACTGTTGATTGTCATGTTTATGTCAGTTGACTACCCAACGTTTGGGCATTTTTACTCAAATTTGGATTATAAATGTAAAAATATCTTTATGCTTTGACATATCTTGATGCCCGGTTTCATCTCTCCATTGGTTATATGTTCAAATTAGCATACTACCGTACTGCTTTTACTGTTGCTGCATTAAACAGTATGCACATTTTTTGTATTCATAGAATACAGGGATGTAAACCCTTGTGGGGTGAAAAAGGTGACAAAGATGCAACTTCGCCCCAGGAAGAATATTTTGTAAAATGTCTGCTTTAAAATATATATATATTTGTTTTAGTTGTTGTTGATCATGAGGACATAAGGAAGAAATCACCCTAGATTCTGTATAGTTTTTTTTAAGAGTTTTTTTTTAAGTCACTCTACTAAGGCCACATTCACATTGTTCTTCTGGAACGCTATAATAATAATTTATATTATATGATATGATATTATATTAATATATTAATATTATTATTATTAATAATAATAATAATAATAATAATGCAGTGAAATTACTGTCTTTAATTTCCGGTGTGATGTGTGATTTTCCTACCTTAGTCATTGTTAGCATACAACTTTCTTAGCTCATTATTTGATTGGCATTCTTAGATAAAATTTGATTAAAAGTGCAAAATAACCATTATTGTTATTATTGTTATTATTATTATTATTATTATTATTGTTGTTGTTATAATTATACATTAATTACATTTTAAATATTAGACAAACGATGAAAAAACATTACTATTGTAGTTTAATAATACATTAATTGTACATTAAAATTACAGTACTTCCCTTTCCAGTGCAACTGATAAAAAAAAAATAATAATAATAATAAAATACAACTTTTTTTTTAGCTATTTATTTAATTGGGCATTTGTAGATAAAATTGCATTTAAAGTTCAAAACGACCATTTTTTTCTAACTTAGTGACATGCATCATTGATGAGGATTGATGCAGCAACATTTATTATGGTTTGAAGCATTTATCATAAAATAATGCTGTTTCTTTGTCATTTCTGTACTGCTGAAAAAAGTGCAATAACAATGCACCCTATTTATGTCTCTTGCTGATATAAACATGCAACACAGTGAGGTCCTTTGACTGCAGTGAAGCATACTACAGTTTGAAATGGTTGTCATACTGGATATTTTTTTATGTGTGTACTTTTAAATAGCTTTTTAAATGAAAATCATCCTGTGTGTCCACAGGTGGGGACTGTGGGTGAGGACGAGGAATGGAAGGTTCTGTACGAGATGGACAGTCCACCAGCCTCAGACACTCTGGAGATTCCCAATCTCATCCCATTTACTCAATACAGGTGAGCTTTTCGCTCCTTTGCTGAATGAAAAACCACTTTCACATCAACCTAATGAACTAAAATGTGGTGACATACGAGCCCAATAGTGTGAAAGTACCTTCACAAACCTGTTGAGTGTTTTGGTGTTTTTAGCAGGGTTTCTGAGTAATTTCAGCTGTTTATGACCTTTCAATGTTGACTAAGCACTCATTATACTCCCAGCTCTCCCTGCGTTATGTATCTCCAGCTATCTTTTTTCTGTTTCATTTATTCTTCATTTTCTCTTTCTTTCTTTCTCTCATTCCCCTTTTCTATTTATCTTTTTAATTGATTTTCTGAAGGTCCTGTGGAAAGATTGTCTTCTGATTCTCGGCACACTATCTTGTCCTAAAGGGATTACAGCTGTAGAGATCTGTTATCCTGTCCAAAATCCCCCGTCCTCCCTCTACTCAAGAGCAAGATCGGAGAATTAAAAATGCTGTTTTTGTCTCTCTCCACTTATATATTCCTTTCAGGTTCAGGATGAAGCAGGTGAACATTGTGGGTTCAAGTCCCTTCAGTCAGCCTTCTCGTGTAATGCAGACCCTGCAGTCCAATCCAGATGTGGCCCCGACAAATCTCACAGTGTTTTCTGCTAGTGAAACCAGCCTGAGGATTCGCTGGGAGGTGAGGAGAGGACACACACAGACACACACACACACAGTCCACACCAAATAAAGGTTTTCATTAGGGCTGTCATTCGATTCAAAGTTTTAATCTAATTAATCACATCCTTTTTCTGTGATTAATCGCGATTAATCGCACACTTCATGAAGTTAAGCATAGACCATTTATCTTGTTTCAAATGTTTATTTTGTCATAATTTGCTATATCCAGCAAAGTAAACCAAAACATTGAAGGGTGATTCTCAAAAATCTATATTTTCTGCAAGCTTTTTTCAAGATAAATTTAGATGTCTTTCCAAAAAAGGACACTAAGAAACTCCAAAAGGACACCAAAGAACCAAAAGATATAAGGAGCCCATATAAGCACATATGAAAGAAAAAAAAAATCTGAATTTTATAGTATGTGTACAGTGCAACAGCAAAGAGCTTTTTTACATTTTAGAGAAGACAAGTTGCGAAACTGAACAGGACCACATGGAGATGCCAAAAAATACCTAAACTAACCGCCTGCTGACTGCATCTACTACAGTACACGGATCCATTCCGTATAACTAAACACAGCAACATAAACATGACAAATCGAAACATTCGTGAATGTGTGTGGAAACAACGTGAATGTACGGAAGTGCCTGTGCATAAATACAATGTGCGATCAGTGCGTCAAGAGCACTCATACATGCAGAGAAACCGTAGTTTGCGTCTGATCTGGCCATACAGCAGTGGGATGTGTTGGCAATCCGTTCAGTCTGTATTTCACACAGTGCGACGTGTGAGTCAGGGCTCGCGCTCTTCAGAGACGATCACAGAATATGACAGAGCTCGTGTTT